CCAAAGGGCATCCATTATTGTGGGCACGTTGGTCACAGCTGTTTGTCTGCAGATGGGTTTATTTAGGTTCTTGCCCTTTTTTTGAGACAGCCTCTCACTATGTAATTCAGGCTGGCCTCAAATTCACTATAGAGCCCAGGATGACCTTGAACTTCCTATGTAGACAAGGGTGGCCTTGAACCTGTGGCAATCCTCTTGACTCAGCCTCCTGAGGGCTAGGACTACAGGCCTACACCATCATGCCTTGCCTTTATTTAGGTTCTTGGAAGATCTTTTTGGGATAGAATTTTGTGCTGACAACCATTTTCTTGTATCATGCCACCACCTTCTGGCTATGGCTGTGGCTAATGAGATGTTAATTAGATTCTTCATGGCTGTTCCTCTGTAGTACTCTTTACTTTCCGTGATTCTTTCTCAGGGTAGACGTCGGTCTTTGGTGTTAGTGCTTTGATTTTGGTATGTGTAAGATGGATTTCTTCCTGTTTTCCCTGTTGGGGTTAGCTGGGATTCCTTAGTGTGAGGATTGGTTCCTTGTACTAATTCTGGAGCATTCTGAAGGTGTGCCCCAGTCCCCTCCCCACTCTGGTGTCTCCTGTGGTGTTCTTCCCCATCAGCCTCCTTTCCAGCATTTCCCACCCATTCCTGTGCAGACAAGTCATGCTGTCCAGGGCTGTGAACATGAAGGTCTGCTCTGCGGGGGCAGCTGGAGGTCCGATACAGCAGACCATGTACCTGACTGGCTCAGGGGAGGCGCCAAGCTTTCCTTTGATCCCAGAGGGGAGAGGCAGGGAAGGCTGCCTGGGCCACTGGTTCTTTAAGGTGACTGTGGGGGCCTCAGGGGTAGCAAATGGAGCCAGATGAAGTCTCTCCAGTGGCCCAGCAACAGGTGGGGAGGCCAGAGACCTTGAGCCCAGAGGCATGGCTATCAGCAGGGGGGATGTGAACTGCGATGTTGGCTCTTTCCTCATCTTTCACTGCCAACAAGAAGGTTGCAATCATGTAGTTCCCCATAGGGTCATGGAAGGACACACTGAGCCAGAAAGAGGGTAAGCTCCCCATGGTGACCTGCCCAAAGCCCTGCAGCCCCCGCACAGCTGCGCTCCACAGTGACTGCATTCAGCCTTGGAGGCATATGACTGGCCTATGGAGCACACGACAGGTGCAGGGTCTGGCTGTGTCCCTCCCAGGCTTTCTTTTGCTATGACACATGCCAGATTAGTTTCCCCATGATGCACCAACAGAGAACAACATTCCTAGCAGGTCCTGGTGCCCTTCTCAGCCCAGTGGACTCACTGTTCTCTGGTGCTTTCCCACTCACTGCCCTTCAGCCCTGCCCAGGAACCTCAAGAGCTTCCACTTCCTCAAGTGTGAAATTGGCAGTCCTGAGATACGCCTCACAGGCTGTTTAGGCTCTGCTGAGACAGCGTAGTGCTCTGGTGAGAGAGAGCACAGACAACAGTATCTCTGTGAATGCTCAAGTGCCATTGTTTCTATTCTGGCTTGCTTTCAGCATCCTCTTTAAATGATGGGATGCTAAGTAGCACAGGGATCTGGAAACTGTGAAGGTTAGATACAAAGACTCATGCATATGAGGCTAGTTTTGAAGTTCATTACAGTCTCTTGGTTAGGACGGTTTGACCTTATCATGGCCTGAAACAGTATGCATTCAGTAGAGACTTCACTTCAGCTTGGAACTTTCTCTAGGGTAGCAGTACATGGTCAGTACTTTCTAATGTTGGGGAGCAGCTGTGTGCTACAGCTCCTAGTCAGCCCCCAGATCATGAAGTGAAAGCCGACAGCCTACATGGTACTGTCTTGCCAAGCTAGGGCACTGGTGAACTGCTGAATGCATTTTTAACTTAGGACAGGTTTATCAGGGTGTGACCCCACTGTAAGATGAGGATGTGTGTAATTTCCTCCAGAGGAAAATATTTCCTTCCTGTGTAACCACACTGCTGTCAGGAAAGCAGCAGAGATACAGGGTACAGGAGCACCGGATCTGCCTAGGTTCTGCGCCCCTCTCACCTGCTCCCAGGTTCCAGAACTTGGTGCTCTTTCCCGTCTTGCTTCTCAAGTGCACCTGATCTGACCACGGCAAGAAGCCGAGGTGCACACACACTTTTCAAGGTTGCTTGTGGCTGTCCAGGGAGCAAGACCTGACTGTGATGGGCACTGACCCTGGCCTTCCCACCATCCATGCTTCTTCATAGCACCTCAGCCCTGAGAGCTCCAGGAGTGTCCAGGGGACCTGGGTGTAGCAGTGCGGGTAAGCAGTGAGGATGACTCTCATCAGGCCAACTTGAAGACACTGCTTAAAACTGGGTGCAGGAAATGTGCACATTCTAGTCACTCAGATCTAAGGAGCACATCTCTGATGGGCCTACACAGAAATTAAGCTGCTAAGTGACAGTAGCTAGACATTTCAGGTGAAATAACTTTGTAAGTAATTACATTATAACATGAAACAATTAATACTCATAATTATATGTGCATTCTAAGACACGGAAGCTTTTAAATCTCTACTAAATACTAAGCTCAGATAAAGACTGCGTCTGGGCTGTTAGCTATGTCATTTCACAATCATTCTATTTTTGTTTTATGTGGATTATTCTGGGGATTGCCAAGGTTCTCAGTTTCATGTGCCTGAAAGGAAGACACTTTTGGAGGTTCTCACTCTGCTCACAGATCACACTACTGCCGTAGCACACAGAGTTACTTCCCCAGGAAGCCACTTCATGGTCATCACCAAGGTCCCAGGCCCACTCCTGCTTCTCTAACAGAGCATGGGGCAAGCTCCCAAGTTTCAGGTGGAGAAGGTGGGAGGTTATGTGTTTGGCAACGGCCTTGAACACTGTGCTCACCTGGAGGAAGCGACAGTGGGAGGTGCTCCCCAAAGCCTCATTTGTAGGTGCACTAGTCCACTCAGGAAAGCAGCCCTCACGACCTAATCACCTGCACATTAGGCATAGGAGTCACACAGGGATAGACATCCAAACTGCAGCCCCAAGTATCTCGGATCTTACCACACAAATGCCCATGATTTAACAGTCAGTTATGTTACTAATCTGAAACAAAGAACCTGTGAACTACCCATTACAAAGACACTGAGGAAAGTCATATGGGAAAGAGCAAACAGCCAATGGCTATAAACACCAACCAAGGAACCAACCCAAACCTCTCACTCTCAAGAAGCTTGCACCCTAGCCTCTGCAACTCAGAGCAGAAATACTGTCAGCACAAGCATCTGCACCTCCAGAAGGTTAGTGAGTGCTTCAGGCTTTGTGGTCACAGGAAGCCCACCGGGTTTGCTGAATGGTCCTGCAGGCGTGCTGGTCTCACTTTTTTTGAAAGGGAGAGGCTTCATCCTCATCCATCAGTGGCCCTTTAGCAGGGCCAGACTACTATTCACACATGCTAGGATATCACCGTGTTCAAGTAGCTAGGCTTTGGAACCCCGTCCATGTCTAGGACAGTCTCACCCAGAATGCCATGCAGACTGACCATCCCGTAAGCCAGGTTCCGGCCCCACCTGCCACCACCTCCATCCTCAGTGCCCTGGCCTTCCTGGCACAAACACTGCCAGCTCTGAGCAGCTGAGTGAAGCCCCCTAGGGCACTCTGGCTGGAGAACCATGGCAGGTCCCCACAGTTCACCTCCCACACGACCCAGGCTGATATGTCTACAGCCGACCACCTGAGAATGAGACATTGTGAATTTAGACGTACTGTAGGACTGGCCAAGATCTAAAACCAGGAGCCATTAATTATGGCCTCTGGTGTGACTTTGGGTGGAAGGAACTTCCCTTATCTGTGTTTCTTTATTATTTGATTTGTGTGTTGTTGCTACATTAAAGAGAAAAAATAATGGTATTTATTTTCCAGCAAAAGAAAAATTTCCTGCAATGGTAGTGAACTGAATCTCTATTTCATATACTTATTTAGCGTTAGTTACATCTTGATCACACTTCACCCAGGCAAATGTCTCTTTCCTGCCTGGCAGCTGGCAGGTTTGGTGGGGCCTCCCTGGGCAATGTTGCTCAGTATCAGGACACAGAACAGATGCAGTACAGGGCCCTGAAGAGGATCTGCCAAACACGGCAAACACTCACAGTGGCTTACAAGGGAAAGCACCTCAGGACGACTGGTAGCATGCATCAGCTTCCCTACCTGGCCGATTTACTTTCTCCCTAACTCCTTTCCTAGCACTGATTGGCACAGCCGCCCCCCATCTTGTCTCTAATGACCTCTCCAGAGTGCCCTCCTGCTCAAGGCTGCTACCCCTTCACCCCTTGGAGCCCTAGTGCCCTGAGTGCCTCCTACTGTCCCCCCTGCACCCAGGAGCACAAGGAGCAGCTACACGAGGTTCAAGAGACAGGCGAGGATTTGCCTCCCGACGGGTCCTCTAGGATGAGGTCGTCATCCTCCAACACGAATCCTACACTCAGACCAGACCCTGGTCATGGGCAGCACAACAGGTCCAGCGTCAATGGCCCAGGAAGAAACCCAGAACACCTGAGTGCCCATGTAACATCCCACTAGCTCTGGAAGGAGAGTGGGACAGGCTGGCGGTCAGCATTTTCTTCTCTGCACAGGGGCACTTAGTGCTCCAACATGTGCTCTGAGGGGGAGTTCCACTTCCCAGGCAGAGATGCTCTCCTTAAGCTGCCTTGGAAGGCCTAACTTCTCAGGGACACACATGGCTCCAGCAGGGCGGGGACAGCACCATCTGCCAAGAGCCTGAGGTCTGTGGGTAGGAGGGAGGCCCTGAACTGCAGGAGACCCTCCAAACAATCTGACATCAGGCCAAGTCCTCAACACAAGCAGAATTAGTGCTAAGAGGTTAAGAGGTTATCAAGGTCATATGGGTACGACACGTCAGGAACACTGAGAAAACGGATTAATATTATTATGTAATATTAATATTAGTAGAATTAAACAGCAGCATGCAGGTAGGTACACAGTAATAAGAGAAGGGTAGAAAGGGACAAAGTGAAAACTCACATCCGGGTGGGGGATGGCGTACTGTCCCTGGATCGTGTAGGCCTGGAGAGAGAGAGAGGGAGACCTTCAGCTCATGATATGGTGGAACCTTGGCTTGTCACCTACTGGCAACCCTCCCCAGCATGACAAGGACCCTCTGGTACCAGCTCTCTCTCTTACATATGCATGTCCACTTGGCCCACTTGCTTGGGACAAAGGGTGAGTCTCCCAGGGCTGGAGGCCAAGAGGCTACCGGGGGAATGCGCTCCAGGAGCCTCACCCTATATCTGAGCTGTGGCAGGCTGAGTGCCAGGCCAGTGGGAGGGAGGGGGCTGGCCAGGCCTCGAAGCTCCCAACCCTTAGCTTTCCTAAAAGATCTAAAGATGATCTGTCTGAACCCCAGAAAGAATTCCACTGATTATTAATCAGTCGCTAAAGTAAAGACCTTTACTCCAAGAGAGCCAAACAAAAGAGAAAGCTTTAATACGTGACCCAAGCCAGTTTTGCAAAAGCCAGATTCAGTAAAAACATGCTCTGAATTGGTCATAGGTTTGACCCAATTTGTCCCTTTCTTATCAAATCTTCATTGCAGCCTCTGAAGGTGGGTGAGGCACCTCTTTTGGAGGATCAGTTGGGGTCCCCTTGGCTCTTTTGGTTTTACTATTTCCCATCTCATATCTGTGCCTGGGCTGGCTGGACTGTCCACCCTGTAGGCTTCCCAACCCCTTGCTCACTCAGAAGTCCCTGTGGACAGCAGAGCCCCACAGATCCCTTCAGCTAAGGTGCCTTCCAGAGATGCAGGAACTCCCACTGGACAACAGACAACTACACAGAGTCAAGGGAGAGCTGTCAGGGCTGGGTCTGGGTGCCACCTGGCCTGGTGGGGGCCAATATGAAACCCCCTCATTCCACAGTCAGGGTCCCTGGCGACCTTACAGAGACATTTCAGCAGGCCAGGTATCCCTTCAGTCCTTCCCACAGGTTTTTATCGGCTGAGAGTTTTCATCATAAACAGACTCACTCCAGGGCTAATAGAACACCTGGCAGGGACTCAGCCACAGCCCAGCCTAGCGGTGGGGAAACCCTGCAAGGTCCCACTCTGGGCCTGCCCCAGGGCACTGGGAGAGGAAGTAAAAGAATCTTATCAGATACAGTGAATCCTTTGATAAAGAGAGCTCCACTGTCTGCGAAACCCAGCCTCAGCTTTGTGAAGTTGCTTCCAGGGATGTATACCCATGTCACATGCTGTCCCTATGGGCCAGGCTGCTGGGACACTTAGGGCCCAGTGTCCTCTCAACCCTGCAGATCTGAGCTGAGCTCGGGTACTGGCTTATCCTGGGCCGTCTACTACCCTGACATCTCTCCCTTGCTGCCTTAAACTTGTGTCTTCTTGTGCCCTGCTTGGCAGCTCCTATTGCCCCAGGGGCAGCTGCTGGCCTCCTCTGAAGTCTGTGGTCTCCTGTACCCTGCCTCTGGGCAGCTGTGGGTCTGATCCTGGGAGGGTTGGGCCCTGCTGACTTGTATCTTCACACTGAGTTTGCCTTTGGCTCTCTCGTGGGACACTGGCCTGGGGCACAGCCAAGGCCATCAACGGCCAGACCGTTCCATGGTGGTTGCCTAAAAATGCAAACACTTCAGTGACAGCCTCAGGGACAAGCACCCCTGGCACAGTGACCTTTGCTACTGACTGGAGAGGGCCAGGGCAGGTGGAGGGGCTGGGATCACTGGCCACAGTCTCCTGTGGCAGCTGGGGCTGGGGCCCAGCCTTGCAGTGTGACAGACTCGCTGGCTGTGTGGAGTCATCTTCCCTTTGCCTGAACCCCATGTTTCACCCCATGATGTCACCATGGGTATGTTTAAAGCCTGAGGTGACACCTGCAGTTCCTGACCTGCCAACAGCATAAGCTTGGGGAAGCAAGGAGAGGAGCTGGCTCAGAATCTGCAGCCATGTGGCCTGTGCTCTCTGAGGTCAGAGTGGGCCTGTGAGGCTGGGAAGCCCCTTGCCTGGCCGGGCCTGGCTTTCCACTCTGTAAATGGCTGTGCTGTGTGGGAGCTCTGTGCGCAATCAGTGTGACCACCAGGAACACCTTGTCCCTTGCCATGAAGATGAGCCTGGGCGCTGGCAGGGTGGGAGCAAAGGTTCCCTTCCCTCCATCTAAGGAGGACTCGGTTGCAAGATCTGATAAGATTCCTTTACGCAGAGAAGAAAAACATGAGGGGAAGCTTTCTTTGCCTTTTTCTTTCTTTTTAATGATAGTGTAGAACCCTGCGCCCACTCTTCCCTGCCTGGGTCACCAGTGGGTGTTTCCATCTCAACTCTCCCTTGGACAAAGACACACACTGCACCAACTGGACACAGAGCTCTTCTGGGCCAACCCTGGCCGGTGTTCAGGTGGCCATGTGGACAGGCTGCAGAGACCTGGGGCAGCCCCACCACAACAGGCCAGACTGAAGCTTCCCTTCTCATGCTTGTACTCTGGCAGTGGGTATGTTGTGGGCCTGGGAATGGAATGTGCATTTAGGAGAAAGTGGGATCCCACTTCTCACAATCCTCTTGGCTTCCGACATGAGCCATGAAGTCGCACAGGATGCTCCTGGCTCTCTCCGAGCTGCTCAGAAGTAGCTTGATGCTAGCTCTGCCTGGTGCTGCCCATGGGATGGAGTTCAGGGAAGTGTCTGAGAGACCTGTGCCCACCCCCTGCTGCCTGGGTTGGCTGGGAGCTCTGTGTCCAGCGGTGGTGGGAGACGTGCGCGTGAGAAGGCGAGAAAACCTGAGTGCACTAACGGGCAGCGGCGGGTGCTGCAGTAAAAGGCTGAGGTTGGCAGTGGAGGCCGCGAGTGGGTCGGCTCTTACCTGACCACCTGCAAAAATGACAGGGGTGGAGGCGGGCTTTGGGCGGTAGGGAATGGTGGCACCTTTCGGTGGGGACTAGGAAAAGGGACAGGAGAGGGAGAGAGAATGTTAGAGCAGCCTTGTGGCTGGCCACAGGCCGCTTTCCCGAGCCCATCCCTTTGCAAAGCCCCCTACCCTACAGGTGGCCCAGGTGGGGGCTGCATGGGCCACAGTAGTGTAGGGAAGACCCTTGTACCCACACACAGGCAGCAGGATGCAACCCACATCCTCAGGCCCACTTCCTCCAATGTGTTCCTTCTCACGGGGCCAAATGCCCTCAGTGTGGCCCACAGCAGGGCACTGGCTCTGTGGCAGTGTGGAGTGTCTGTCCAGAGAGGCCAACCGGGGTGGGCCACCTGCTGCAGGACAATGGCTGCTGAGGATGGCTCTGCAGTGCTCTTTCTCACTGCCTGGTCTCTTCCTCCCAGTGCAGCCCCTTGGGGACGGTGAGGCACATGGCACCTACAAGGCTGGGCAAGTCTGTTAGCCCAGCATCTTCTGACAGAAACCTCATGAAGTCTTGGAAAAAGCTGAGCTTGCACACAGTCTGCTGTGGAAACGGACGTCCAACGCTCCCTGTGGGCCCACCATGACTGGCAGTAGAGATTGCAACAGGCAAGTTAGAAGCAGTGATTTCACATTTTAAAAGCTTGCAGATGCCAAATGAGGTACTGAGTCATGATGAGGTTTGCTATAATTTTCTTTGGTTATCCTGTGTCCAAGTTGAGGAATTCTTATCCCAGGTGAATTTCATTCTCAGGTACTAACATTCTCCCTGAGCTCCTTTCTATGGTCAGAGGTGAGCAGTCCCTCCCTGGTTCCAAGTGGTCCTGTCCTGCGACCGCTGGGGAAGTGGCTGCAGCATGAGGAACACCCAGAGCACAGTCTAGCCACAGGCAGTTCTGGGCTGCAACCCACTCAGGCCCATGGTGTGACTGGAAAGCACATCCCACTGGAAACCTCATGGTGACAGATCATGTCCACAGGTCAGGTGGCAGCAAGATATAGCCCAGCCATCATGATGACCTGGCTGTGGAGGGGACAGGCTGTGGAGTGGGTCTGAGCTGTGTGTGTAGGGGATACTGGTTCTCACAGGAGGCCCATCTTCTGCATTTCTAGGCCTTCAACAAATGTCTCTGAGTGCCTCTGTGCAGACGGGGTCACCAAGGGTTCACAGCCAGACTTGGGGTTTGTTGTGGAAGGAACATGCTCAGTGTATCCGAGCTGATCCCTGCACATGCCCACACTGCCTCCCTTCCCATGTCCCTCCAGACCCCAGCCTTCATGCGGGCTCCACAGAGTGTGACCCAGCGTGTGACTTCCCTGAGCTGACCCTGAAGCACCCCGAGACAATGACTGATTCCCATGTCCTGTTCTCACCCACAGGGGCTGGACCCTCTGGGCATGGGCCACTGATGTCCCAGGAGTGGATAGAGCATCTTGGCAGGCCCCACTCAGGTCTCACCTGTCATGGGGCAGCCCTTTCATAATTTTGGAGGTTTGAGGCATACCCCATAAGCAAGCCTAAAAGGAACTGACAAGCAATTTTTGTTTGGAGGACTGAACCTAGGGCCTTTGCACTGAGTTACATCCCTGTCCTTTCTTTATTTTTAATTTTGAGACTGGGTCTTGCTAAATTGCTAAGCTGCCCAGGCTGAGCTTGAATTTGTGATCCTCCTGCCTCAGCCTTCCAGAGTGCTGGGATTACAGGTGTGCACCACCATGCCCACTAGCATGGTGGTCTTTAAACCATCTTTTGCTTACTTTTCCAGCTACTCTTCAGTTCAAGTGGGCCCATCTGTTTTCACACAGGGTGAACCTTCCTTCCCTGGTAAGATGGCCCTGCCCCACCTTTGAGTGCTGCATGATGGGAACAAGAGCAGGACATCCTTGGTAGGCCAACACCCACGGCCACACCTCACACCAGGACTGTGAACAGGGCCATTAATTTTGTTGCCTTAGAGTACTGGATGGAGTTTAAATTTCGGCGTCTTTCCTCTCCAGTGTGGACAAGCTGCTCTTGCCAGCTGACTATCTTTGCTTCTGTCTCCTCCTCTTTTCCACTTCTTGGCGCCCCTCAGTCTGTCCTGAGTCCACCTGGACCTTGGTGGGGGACTACCTGGCTGTGCTCCCACCTCCTCCCTACTGCCTCCAGGTAGTGCGGTGCCACTCCTCAGGCTGACTCTTCCTGAAACCCTTGCCAGGACCAGAGCTTCTTATCCAGCTCCAAGACAAGGGGAAGCTCACTCATCCCAGCACTCTTGCCACTGCGAGAGTAGATGGTGGCCTGGGCCAGATGCTGGCAGCCCCACACTGGGTGCCTGATTACCAAGTGGCTCCACTCCAACAGCCTGGAACCCATCCGCTCTTGATGCATGAACAATTGTGTGAGTCTTCAGGACCAGCAAGGTGCCAGAGCCTGTGATGATGCTAGCGAGCCACACTCAGTGAGCCTGCTGTGAGTGAAGGGCACTGTGACGTGCGCAGCCCCCCATGCACAGACTGTACCTCCAGCATGACCACACAGATCTGCTTGACGCACTGGATGATGGCATCTGGTGTCCCTGAGATGGTCACTGCCCGCTCTGTGGAGTTGGGCAGCATGTCCCCTGCCACCTGGACCTGGGCACCTGTGGACTGGTGAGAAGAGATATTGGGAAGGGAATGACAGAGAGGGCAGGAGTACACACAGGATGAACAGCACCTCCTGAATCTTTGAGAATCCTCCAATGCAAACTGCACCCACCCCCCATATTTTCCCATCACTTTCCCTCCACATCCACTGGACACTGGCACCCCACCTTCTGCATGTCCCCTCTAGAGCACCATGCCCCACCTGGGGGCATCTGTAGGGATATGGAATTGCTTATTCTAAGCACAAGAATTCTGTCTCTTCTGTGGAGTCCCAGGCCAGAGAGAAAGGTGGAGTCCATGGGGAAAGGAATCATGAGAGGGCACTGCCCTCCTGGGTAAGTAAGGTAAGGACTCGGCCTTCTCAAAGCCAGAAGTCTGTAAGTATCAAACACACCATAGCAGGCTAGTTGATGTTGTCCCAGGGGGAAAGGAAGGCATGAGATAAGAGTAGAAAGCAGGCCTGAGTATAGTCAAAACCATTATCCCAGGAGAACCCCCAGCAGGGTCATCCCACACAAAGATATAGTGTAGGTCTGTGAACCTAGTGAGGTCCCCATATCCCACCTTTCACTTGCTTATTGGATTATCTGTCCCTGTCACACATAACTCCAGGTCAGCATGGCCAGTGCCAGCACATGCAGACCTTTAGGGGATGTGCATATGATAGCTGGGCCATTGCAGCCACTGGGACTGTCTGCCCCACCCTGGGCTGGGAGCATCCTGATACCTCCCTGATCTCCTTGATCTTGGATCCACCTTTGCCGATCAGGGACCCACACTGGCTGGCCGGGACCACCAGCCTCAATGTCACCGGGGGTTTGCTGGTGGCAGGGCTGTTACTCATGGAGTTAATGATGTCCTAGGGAAGAAAACACACATGTTGGCCCCTGGCTGGTGAGTGCAGCTGCAGGGTTTGGGGCCACCTGGAGATATATGCACAGCATCCCATCCCCACCACCCTGGTGCACTCTGTACTCTATAGACAGAGGTCATGGAGCCCTCACACTCATGCAGAAGCCCTGCGGAGGGCAGGCTGGAAGTTACAGAGCCTTCAAGGGGAGGGCAGGTTCGAGGGGTCAAGGAGTCGTCAGCCAGATATCTGCAGGTTTAGGCAGATGCACACGTGAGGTAAAGGTGTTGGGGGAAAGGGAAGGACAGACCAGCAGGGGCTGGGTCACCAGGAGCAGGGATGGGGGCACAGCTCAGGGGCAGACCTCAGTCTGTCTCTGTCTGTATCTCTCTCTCGTCTTCCCTTCCTCCCATCCTTTTGAATCTCTGTCATGAGGTGAATGGTTTTGATACTATCATATTGTGCTGCTGCCATCCCCACCCCAACCAGAGACCTGAAAGCAATGGTTCTGCTCAATTGTGGACTGAAAACTCCAAAACTAAGAGCCAGAATAAGCCTTTTATCTATAAGTTAATTTCTCTCAGGTAGTTTTACAGTAATGTAAAGCTAACTAACATAAACACTGACTCCAAGAAGTGGGGGTGCAGCTGTGACAACACCTGATGAGGTAGAGAAGCTCTGGAATGGTTTATAGGAAATTTGGAGAAGCGAAGCAGAGAAAGCTTAGAATGCTGTGAGCAGAGCTGAATGGGTAATCCTGGCCTGAGTACAGAAGACTAGAATGCTTACAGGAATGTGAACAGCGAAGGCCAGGCTCAGGAGGTGTCAGATTGAAATGAGTACTCTCCTGGGAACTGGCCTAACAGCCACTTGTGCAACATTGTTGAAAAGAATTTGCTTACATTAATTTGGTGGGTGGGTGATTTTAAAGGTAATGGACTAGTTTATCTGGTGGAGGAAATTTCAACGAAGCATTGCACTCAGGCAGCAGCGTGGGTATTACTTACCCACAATAAGCTGGCTGCTTATTTTGCTAAATTTACAGTGAGAATAAAGAGCAAAAAGCAGAGCAGAAAGACTTGAAAAACTTTAGTTTGTCCAGAAAAGGAGTGTGTTCAGAGTTGTAGTCAAGAAAGGTGTAGAGGGGCTGGAGATTTAGCTCAGTGGCACAGCACCTGCCTGGCAAGTGCAAGGTCGTGAGTTCGATTTCCGGTAGGTCGCGGGGGTGGTACGCGGAAAGGGTGTAGACAGTAAAGAGATTAGCACAATTGAACAGAAGTCAAGTACTTTGCCCTGGACAATAGGAAAGATGCCAGGAGGGAATCTCAGAATTGCCAAGATCAGAGCCATCATAAGCTCAGGACGTAGAAATGTACACCAAAGGCTCTCCAGGACAGAGGTTTTTGAGAAAAGAGCTCCAGAGTACCCTGGCAATCTAAGACTGTTCAAGCCAGCAAAGCACTCAGGCCACTGCAGCCATGGTTTAAGCAAGCCCAGATATAGCTCACGTTGGGGGCAGACTCTGATAGTGTCCATGTAATGCTGGTATTGCAGGCATGCAGCACGCAAGAATTGTGGGGTCATGGAGGGTTCCATCAGATTTCAAAGGAAAGCCTGGGAGGCCAGACAATGTGTGACAGCGGCAGGGTCAGAGTTCATGTCATTAGCCTCTGAGAGGGTGATGTGTGAAACTGTGGGAATGAAGCTACAGCTGCAGTGGAGACCCCAGGAAGGTGGAAATATGGGTTGTCTGCCAAGGAAAGCTGCAGGCAGTGACCAAGGCAACCTGAGAGTAGCCACAGGGGTTGTCATCAGTAAGGCCATGGGTCAGACTGCCCAAGCCCTTTGGAGGTCACATCATATGGTATATATGGGGCCCCAGTGCTGGACAGGAAGCTACAGGATTTAATGTTTGCCCTGCTGAGTTTTGGACCAATTCTTTCTTATTATTTCCCTGTTCTTTCCTTTTAAAATGGAAACATTTATTTACGCTGTGCCACTATCTCTTGGAAGTTGTGTAACACCCCACCCCCAGGGGAGGTGTTTCAAAGCACAGTTTACCTGGAGTCTCAGAGGAGATTCTAGGCTTGGACTTTTGGGACTCTTGGAGATGGGCTGAATACATTTTACACTGACATGGACATGAGCCTCCAAGGGTGATGGGTAGAATGCTACGGTTTGCATCCAGAACGTCACTCAAGGGTATACGTGTTAAAGGCTTGGTTCCTAGCTTTATTACTGGAAGTGCCTATTTTGGGGGTGTTCTGGAGATTTTTGGTTACTGGCAGCTATGCCCTCAAAGGAGACTTGGGATCTCAGTATCTATCTCACTCTGTTGCTTTTTTGTGGCTCAGCCATGAGAAGGATTTTGCTAGACCATGTGTTCCTATTACGGTGTACTATCCACCCCTCACCATAACCCTAAAAGCAATGGTTCACCAATCAAGGACTGGAACCTTCAAAACTGTGAGCCAAAGTAAGTCTATTCTCTTTATAGGCTGATTTCCTCGGGTGCTGTTTTTATAGTGACAGTAATCTAACACATTCTTCCTCTTACTTTCAATAGGCCCCTGGTTGTCTTCCACTCATGAAGGCCCCTTGTTTCTTTTCTTTTTACTTAATGATAGCTATTAGGCTGGAACATGCTCCTTCCCCAAGACAGTATCCACTCCCTTCAGTCTCACCAGTTCCTGGCTATGCCACCGGTCACCAGAGCCCCTGAGTAACGGCCTCTGATAACTCTGGTCTCATCCACTGAGATGCTACGGAATTGCAGTGGATTGGTTGAACCAACATGGGCAAATCTAGACCCTCCACAAATCTACCTGTAACTTTGCTAGTTTCTCCTCCTCCTAGGAAAACAACCAACTACTAACACATACATGATAGGGCCATAATTTATGTCTTGCTGCCAGGTGGCTCAGATTTGAATTTGATTGTTCCTGTTGACTCAAGCCACCGATGGTACATCCACAACTGTCCATCCACCAATGGTACATCCACTGTCAGGTGGCTTGTAATGTTTCTCGGGGGATCTCAGATTATAATAATGCAAAGAAAGGCATTAATATAGCACACCATATATCACCATATTACAGTTTCTTAAAGAAAACATTCAAATGGTATAAAAAATTATATTACAGCTACTTTATGGTACAGCAGGTGTAAATGCATATTATGTACACCAGCAATGGGATACTTGTAAGATTTCCACAATTAAATTTAAAGAATTACTTATAAATTAATAATTATTAAATAGTTAATCATTAAACAGTAAATATTTAATCAAATATTTTAACTAAATTATTATTAATTAATTAATTATAAATTTAAAGAATTAAATTACTTAAAATTTAAAGAATTAATTACTGACAAACTATTCATGAATATGACTAAACTTTTACTTTAATGAAGTAAATTTGTTGATTATTATAATAATTTTAAATTGGTATGAATAGTATTAATACTTATATTTGGGCAGTAATTATTTAAATTCAAGCAACAAACTAGATTCAGTCCATTCATTAATTCAGATTTTTTATTAACTTTATTAGTAAAAAGAACAATAAAAGTAATTAGATCCATTTCACTACCAGTAGTATAAGCCACCTGATGGGACATGTACCATTAGTAGTTCAAGTCAGTGGGAATGTGTTAAAACCAGGCAGTTAGGTGACTCTAAATCTAACTTCCATAACCTGCAAGAAGCAACCGAAGAGATTACGCAGTGACCTGGCCAGCATGTGCCTTGGTTCTAGCCACTCACCTTGAGCAACAACTTCCCACCCCCAGGGTCCCCCTCCAGACACTGCTGCCTTTGGGGCCAGGAAACGCCTTGCCCTGTGTGCCTCTGACACATCATGCACTGCACAAGAGGGTCTTGAGATTTCTCTGTGTTCAGAGACTTCAATTCCAGAAATCCTTGTGGTTGGAAATTCTGACTCAGATTCATAACTCAAACCAAGGTCACCCTGACCACTCTCTTAGAGGAGCCCCTGACTCCCTGCTCAGCAAACATCCAGAACAGAGGTGTGGCAGGAAGCATACAATGAAAAAAGATGGCTTACACTCACAGCTGGCTCTGGCAGAAGTGACCAGAGACAGGCCTGTGCTCTAGAGGGATGAGAGACAGTCCCCATGTCTTGGAACAAGTGGGGATAGGTGGCTGCCAGCTCCAGACTTCCTGTTGGCTAGTTGTGGCACCCTCACTGCTATGGCTAATATCACCTGCTAGACAAAGATCAATGGAGCAGGCCATGTAGGCCTAAAAGAAAGCTGTCTGGGTCTCTATGGCTGGGCTTCATGGGCTCTGGGCCTGGTTCCCCTGGCCTGAGCTGGCACTGAGCTCTTGATTTCAAAGCTTTTGTTTCTGTCACAATGGTCATGGTGCTGCTCTCTATACAGTCCTATGAGTGTCCATGCAGGTACTCTCTTGTCATAGGATGGCCAAGACGACAATGAAGCAAAAGGCCAAGATTATTTTGCAGTGCAGGTGACCATAATTACAGCTGGATCACCGTGCCAGAGATGTGATCCCTGGTCCTTCCTGAGTTGGCAAACCTGTAGCAGGCAAGAGAACAACTACAAGGGGAAGCCGAGGAACTGAATATGTACACTGGTGATGGCCAGGGAATAGGTGCCGTGACAGCACTGGCCCACATCTCTGCAGGAGCCAGCCCAGCAGTGAAACTCAGCTGGTTCCATGGTGATCCATGATGCTTGCCCCACCCCACTCAGGGCCAACTAGGGACAGCACACTCCTCACACATATACATGGGAGCCCACAGCTGCCCCGGGGGCACACTGCAACCTTTCTGCTATCCACCATGTGGAGGTCCCTCCCCTGCCTGCTCTGACAGAAGATGGTGCCAACCCCTTTGCCATAGCCAGCTCTGTGTCCACTTCCTGCCTTTGCTCTTTGGAGGGGCCTCTATTTATTCTCACAAATTCTGCCTCACTATCTGATGGTCACTCCTCATTTTCAACAAAATGCACCACCAGCTTAATCACCCTCTGTGAATAAAGACACTTGCTGAACGCTGGCTCTGAAGAGGTGCACAGAAGTGCTGCATCCACACCATGTGTAGGGTCCAGCAGCACAGTGTGTTCTGTCCAGCAGCACTGTACATCTGTCTGTGTCTAAGCCAGGCTGTGGAGCACCCTGGAGGTCAGCTGCTATGTGGTGTGTGGTTGAGGCCAGAGTCATGCTAGCCAGAGCTTCACTGAGAGCAATGGTGGGAGTCGTGGCCACAGCCAGGGTCAGCAGCACCAGAGGGCCCTGGTGGGAGGCAGGGGGGTGCTTGGTGCTGGGGGTGGTTATCTGGGCAATGCCAGTGAGGGGACTTCTCCAATGTATGCCTGCTGAAGATAGACAGGGACAGAGCCGGAGAGGGTGCCTTCAAAGGCAGAGGAGGTGACAGGAGCTTGAGCACAGTGCGCAGCCCAGCAGTGTGCCTAGGGATGGGCTGGACCATCTTCTTGTCCAGGAAACAATGTGGGGCCCACAGCCACCCATGACTGCTGGTGGCAGTCTTATGTAGGCATGCCTTACCTCTTCAAACTTATAGGCAATCATGGCAAAGGCCTTGAAAATAGCATCCGTTGGGCCTGTGATGGTCACAATTCTCTCTGGGCAGTTTCCCTCTGAGATGTTGATCCTGGCGCCACTCTAGGGTAAGAGCAGAGCAAACACGGTGACAGAGAAAAGCTGTCAGAACAGTATTGCCCTGGGTTCTCCAAACTGGTGGACAACACCCAACACAAACACAGGTGATGGCCCTGCCTGCAAGCCCTACCCAAGTTCTTTCAGCAATTTCCTTTTTGTTCTTCCTTAATTGAGCACTGGGGATTGAACCTATATCCCAAGCCTTATTTATTTATTTATTTATTTATTTACTTATAGACAGGGTCTCACTAAATGGGCAGGCAGAACTCAAATTTGTGATCCTCCTGCCTTAGTCTCCCAAAGTGCTAAGACTATAGGCATGCGCCACTACACTCAAGTTAGCAAGCTCCTTCACAGTGAAATTTTAATTTGCAAAAAAGAGCACAAGTGGTGTCTAACGGAGCATGTATCTGGTACCCAATATTTTGCATGCACTGGTGTCAGAGGAAAGCCTGTCCTCTTTCCCTGGCGAGGCCCTGCCACACCTGCCGATGGAGCAGGCCCCAACTTCGGAAACAGATGTCACTAGGGTAAGCACACTCACCTCCTCACGCATCTTCTTCACAGTCTCTCCTTTCTGGAATGGAGATGGAGGCAAGGAAAGGTGTCAATGGCAGCTCTGTGGAGGCTGCACAGTCCTCACAGGGCCCATGTGTCAGGAGCTGTGTCTGTGGTATGCCAAGGACAATGACCAAGGTGGTGAAGGGCTGGGCAGCGGAGCTGCCTGCCTCCTGCTGGCCTGGGTGGTGGCCTCTCCACTCATGGGCAGACCCCTCACACACAACCTCGAGGCCCTTCCAGTGAGGAGGTTGGCATGGGAAGTGAGCATATTACCCAGTGGCATAGCTGCTGGGCAGCAGGCTCTAACCGGACCCAGTGCCCACTGCCATGGCATTATGTGCACAGCACTATGATGGGCTGTGGGCTGTGGGGCACCTGACAGGAACTGCACAGGCCCAGTTGACCCCATCCTGCACAGATAGTGACTTCCCAAAGTATTTGCTTTGAGAAAGAGTGAGGAAGAGAGGAGATGATGAAGCACTGGTGACTCCCCACAGCAAGAGGAAGTGAATGTGACCCAGACCAGTTGGTGTGGGCCCCTGAGCTGGGCAAATTACAGCCATGCAGAGGTGCAGGGTCTACCTCTGGCCTCTCCCAAACTCACACACAGTAGCCTTCCCGACAGGTCTCTGTCCTCATGGAGCAGAGAGGTCAGATTACAGGACCACTACAGAATGCTAGAGTCCCACACCAGAAGATAGGTGGTTGTCAGCAGGGCAGGGGTGGTGGGAGCTATGAAAGTGACCAGGGCCTTGCTGGGCCAAGGGAGAAGGGCCCAGGGTGTTTCAGGGTACTGCAGCCTAAAGCAGTAGAGTCCCTTATGAGGACCTCACACCGTACTCTGGATCCTGACTTTCTCCTGCAATGGGCTGCATGCCTAGGGGTTGCCTAGAGTCATGCAGCACCAGGGGCTACTGGTGTCCTTGCAGACAGACAGAGGAGCCCTTACAGAGACTCCAAGAGAGGTAGAGTTTGTTCAATAATTACCTTCCCAATGATGCTGCCGACTTCCTGTGAGGGAAAAAAATCACAGAAAGATGATGTCACAGAGCAGCAAATGAAAAGTCTCTGGGATATAAGTGGCAAAACCTGCCTACCTTCCTGACACGACAGGGTAGAGTTTACTTCCTGATTTATTATTTTTTTTTTTTTTTACTTCCTGATTTATTTTTTTGTGGCCAAGGGATCACCTCAGGGCCTGGGATACATGAGGCAAGTGTTCTGCTGCTGAGCCACCCAGCCCAGAGAATTTGGACCCAGAAAGAGGATCTGACTGAGGCTGGCCTAGGAGAAGGGCAGCTGCTCCCCAGGTCAGTGACCAGGATGGCACCCATATGCTCAGGAAGACCCACAAGGACCAGGTGGAAAGTGAAACTGACTAGGTATGTGATGCTAGGGGAGCTGCACCGAGGCTGCAGCAGCCTGTTTCAAAGGCACTGGCCCAGCTGCACAGCTGCAGTGGTGCCCTGACCCTTGCGGGTGCCTGCTCCCACTAAGCCATCTCTGCCTACGGGAAGCTCCAGACCTGTGCCACTGTGCCATATCACTTGAGGTAGGGCCACTCCAACTTCCAGCCACAGAGCATGACATCCTTCAAGTCCTGTGAGGGCCCTGTGCTCAGCTATTCCCGAGCAGCAAGGCTGACCCTGACCCTGACCCAACCTGTCACAGGCTGGCTTCACCTCAAGGAGTGCAAGGCAGTGCTGAAGCTGCCAGAGGGTGTGGGGAACGGACATCACCTCTAGACCGCCCCGTGTGGTGCTGCCATCTGCAGGACAGGCAGGTCCATCTCTCCACCTCCTAGGTGGACATTCTGGGCAAGTGTTCCCTCTACAAACCCAGCGGGGGCAAAGAGCACTCCTAGTGGTGATTCTGTCTACTCAAAGGTGTCAGAATTCCTGGACACAGGGCTGGTTCCAGGGTGAGGACAGAAAAGGGCAAGATGAACCACAAAAGGGAGACAGTGCTGTAGGAATGGGGGCACTGCCAGGAAGCCCAGGAGGCATCAGGTCAGGGATAGTACGAACATGACAGTGCGGGTAACAATGCCAAGCCCATGCCCACACAAGCCTGGATGCAAGAACAGATGCATCTGGCCCAGGACAATGGATGGGGGGTGGGAAGGCACTTTCCACCCAGTGGCCAACATAAACCCACCACAGTGACACCTGGGCCACTGAAGGATGGCTTCTGTGACATTCGTGGCAATGGCAAGGGGACATTCAATGAGGCCAAGTGAGGGGCACACCACAAAAGCCAGGCAGAAACCTTCACCAGTGAGTCAAAGACAAGGAAGTGTTTTGGATGGAAGGAGCCTATCTGCTGGGGACCTGATCCTGGAGGGCAGCATGCAGACTGGCAAGCAGCAGGCCTAAAGCAGGTAACGGTGAGGCTCCTTGACTCAGAAGGAGAGCATCCTGCCTGTGGAAAAGCATGCTGGAGTGAAGGAGGACAGGGTTTGGGTTGGCCACTACATCTGGAGTAGTTCTAGAAAGGGAGTCAGGTAGAAGGGTTGGCTGCTTCTTAGCTTGAGAGCTCAGAGTGAGAAACACTAAGCAAAGACCTCAGTGTTGTGCCCCTTCCTCCCCAGACCACTCTGTACCTTTCCATGCATCAGCAGGCGGATGGTCAGGGTCACATTCAGGCCGCCTTCTGAGACCTTGGACTCCATCTTTCTCCCAAAATGTGGCTGGGGGTGGAGGCCTAAGGTGCTGAGGGTGCTGTGAGGAAGGACGGATGGGGCCCAGATAGTGTCACCTAGAAAAAGAAGGTAGGCTGCTGACCATTGGCCACCAGCTGAGCTCCTGGCCTGCGGGAACTCTGGCCTCCTGTGCAGGAATGGACGTGCTGTCATCACTGTCATGTGCTGATGAGGTCTCATCTTCCTTAGGGCAGGAGGAACCTAGCGGCTTGCATCAGGCTCTCCCAACTCATGGCACCCCTGGGTAGGTCACTCAAGCCCTCTGGCCTCCGTCCCCTCCTCTGTGAAGAGGGTCACAGGAGCACCCCTTCCAGAAGCCAGAGAGCACAGGAACCCCAGCATGGCCCCGGGAGAGTCCACCCTGCTCCCTGGGCCTGGCTAGCCCGCTCTCCTTATAGTCTTAGTTCTGCTCATTGTTCCAGTCACACTAGGAGCATGTCAGGACCCTGGCATGTCAGGACCCTTTCCCAGGGGCCACTTGCTTTACCCTCAAGCACATCGGACGGTGCTGCAATGGCTCCTTTGTACCTAGGGACACAGTTCTTGGTAGCCTTGTAATATGGGCTCAGTCTCCAGCCACAAAGTTGTCAAATCAAACTGCTGGGGCCCCTCAGCCAGAGCTGTCAGAGACCCCTTGCCCCAGCATAGACCTATGCTTCTTCTAGCTTCCTGCAGGCAGGTATTCAGGGGGTGCCCCCTGGCTACATTAAGACTTTGCTCCATTATTTGCAGAGATGGGTCAAAGGTGCTCATGGGAAATAACAGGGCAACTTTGTGTCCTTGAGGGTCAGTGGGTCCAGGCCTCTGATGGTGAGCAGCCTGCACTTCTTCAGCCCCCACCACTGAGTTCCCCATGACTTTTGTTAGGAATTCCCAGGTGTGAGGAGAGGCCACCCTTACCATGGTGGTACAGCTGCTGCCCAGCCACATCTGTGGGTAGCTATGACTGCAAATGTGCCCCAGAGAGGATAAGAGGGAGGCAGGGAGGAGAGGATGGGTAGGGAGGACAGGGAGTAGGGTCCACAAGGATTCTAGTGGTGAGGGGGTGAGAGATGTTCATGCCCACGACAGGACAATGCTCAGTCCCCCCGCATGGGGCACAGACACTGGGCTTTGGGAGGTCCCCAAGGACAGAGAGGAGACAGAGAAGGTCCCAGGCCAGGATATGGGTGTGGGTGGCCTCCACAGGACCCAGAGAGCAGCCCTTCAGGGCAGCACAGGTGGCAACAGGTTCTCACAGCAAAGAGCCACATGGTAGAGTGAGGCTGGCTTCAGATGGGAAGTGTGTGGGTAAGTTCCATGTAAGGCTCAGGATGGGTGCCCAGGGACCCATGGGGCAGGAAGGGGACCACCTCCAGAGGCCTTGCACACCTGCCAAGATGTGCACCCAGAGGTGGGCAGTCTCTAGGGAGAGGAAAGGCGAGGCTGTGCTTCCCAAGGATGAAACAGAGGCCATGCTCAGGAAGGTCCTCGCTACAGTCCCCACTCACACCTTCACCAAGTGACAACACTGTCCCAGGGGATGGCTGCCCTAGGAGACCCTTCAGGGGCAGACCCGAGGACACGTGTGTGCTTAGTTCCACATGACAGGCTACCTGGACACTCTGTAATGTAATCAGGAGGACAGCCTATGGTTAAAAGTTGGAACAAAAATTGTTTTCTTCATCAAAATATTTCTGTTGAAAATGTGATAAAAGGAGAACACGACATAAGGCAGAGAAACAGCCTGTTCGGTCAGCTGTGCAGTGTCGGGATGTCTGCAAGGGCGAGCATTGGCGACCCCCCTGCGTGCACAGTGACAGTGACAGGTACACGCCTGCATTCATGAAATAATGGGCTACCACACTTGTGCTAAAAAATGGATTTACAGCCAACTTCCTCAGAAACCCAAAGTATTAGTTTTCACTATTATTCATAGTAAAATGATGCTTTTGAACCACAAGGCTTTTAACGCAGGGTGTTAACATAGGTTCGACACAGCAAAGAGTGCACAGCAACGTCTCTATCTCCATAGCCCAGCACCAGCCACATGTGCTATTCACACTTCAAACCAAACTCACCGGGCACCTCTGAGTGGCTGCTGGCTGCCCTACAGAAAAGCACAAAGAAGACAAGGTTCTGTAGCCCGTGCATTTGCACGCTCCTTGCAGAACACTGGACCCAAACAGGGTGCTTGTGAAGATGTATTGCACAACAGGAGGATACACAGCTCCAGTGGCTTCTCTGGCACCAAACAGCCATGCATGTCTGCAAAAACATCTGTGACAAGGTCAGCAAAGCCTTTCTAACAAGTCTGTGTTTCTGTGAGGCTGATTTCTTAGCACCAAAGAGCTGGATCATGCTGTGGCCAGTCTGGGGTTCTGCCTCCTTTTAATTAAAGATATCTCTTCCCACGAAGGGGACAGCACAGCCCTGCAGCCTTCTGTTACATAAATGTTCCAGCACAGGGAGGAAAAAGTGGGTCAGTGCCTGCCCCTGGTGCGTCCGTCTCCCAGCTGTCAGCAGCGATCTGTCAACAGGCCACTGAGGGTGGAAGGAGTTGTTCAGGGGCTCTAAGGACCATGAGGAGATGTCCAGGGAGCGGGGTGGTCACTGGGATCAGGACTCAGTTCTAAGGACTCACTGTGCTTCAGCTGCAGCTCCTGGACCACAGTCCTCTTGACAGGTGTGGGATAGAGAAACTCTGCACCCATCTTCTGCTGTCCCTTGGCACCTGTGTGCTCATGGTGACTTGAGCTGTGCTCCCTCTGGCCCACACTGGCTGTCCACCTGTGCTCCAGGGCTGCCAGGGAATTAAGGCCTAGGTGGTTCTTGGAAGGAACTCAGCAGGAAGCAGGGCTGTTGCTCTGCTCGGTCATCTGCAGCCAGTGGGACGGGCAGCATGCCCTGGGACCCTCCCTCTCCTCTCTGGAAGCCCTTCCTTGTTCTCCTCAGGGCTGGGATTTAACATGTTTTGAGAAACCTAATGGGAGGCTGAGAAGAAACAGGTATGGTCACCCCAGCCTCTGTCCACACCTGCCCAGCAAGCCTATCCAAGCCTGGCTTGAAGCAAGACCGGCTTCAGTGCCACATTGTGGAACACTGTCCACACATGTGCCTCAGCTCAACACATGCCCTGTACCTTGACTCCCAGGGCTGGAGGCTGCTCCATGGAGTTTTAGACCACATTGCATCTGCTTAGTGTAACGATGGAGCTCCCTATCCTCCCATCTGCCAGGGCACTCACTCACCCATCTGTCTCAGCACCCTACACTCAGTACTCAGGCGAACGTCTCTCCTCTCCCCTCCCTTCCCAGTCATTGACACTAGATGTAGAATCCAAGCCCCTGCCCCTCTCAAAGCAGTACCGACACACCCTTCCTCACACTCCAGGCCCTGTTGGCTGCCCTTCTCTCAGAGCAACCTGAATCACTGACCCTGCCTTGTCCTCCCCCTTCTCCCTGAAGACCCCACTACAGGGCTCCGTACCCACCACCTCCTTGTCCCAGAACCCAAAGACCTTCCACGGCTCAGTGTGGGCCCCTTCGCGCTACCCCCAGAATTGCCCTTTGCACACACACATGTACAAACACACACGTCTTAAGTATCACAACTGGTTAGAGACAGCCCTGGCACTACTGTAGAGACAACCACTAACGAAGAGAAAAAGGCCAGGAGAGTGACAGGGCACCAGGATGTGAAAAAGGAAGGAGAGGGGAAGGGCTAGTGAGGGTAGGCCTGGGGCTCGGATGAACAACAGTCAGTCTCAGAAGGTATAGGGACAGTACTTGTGCCAGTCCTGAGGCACAGACCCTGTAAAGAATGACATGGTGTCTTGGGCTGGTGCAGGTCAGCAGCCAGTTGGGGCAGCCCTTGCAGGGCCCACCTCGGCTGCAGATACCCTCACCCGGTCCTGGGGCCTGTTGGTTATTGGGTAGCCTCTGCTGCCCCCACCCCAATGTACCCCAAGGCAGGCTGCATGTAAGTTCTGCCTCAGGGGCCATGACCAGGCAGCAGTGTGCCTGCAGAACAGCAATCTGGCAAGACGGACTGTAGTCTGAGATATCTGTGACCTTGAAATGAGAAGCAACATTTGACTAATCTCTCACGAAGGAACACAGAGGCACAGAGATTAGACAAATGCACACAAAGGACAGGGGTTAGCTATGTGGGGTCTCACTGAGCATCCCATGCTGTGGCGAGGGCACTACTGTCTCCCCATTTTCTGATGGAAGGGTGGGCACAAGGAGTGGCTCAGGGGCTCACTGAAGTGCTTAGCTGATTATGCAAAGCAGGGGTGAGGACCCAGGTGGCCCTGGCCATGCCTGTGACCTGCAGTCACAGCTCAGCAGCAGCAAGACACCTGCTTCAGGGAGAGGCTGAGAAGACACAGGCATGGTAACTCCTGGCCTCTGTCCACACCTGGACAGCAAGCGTATCCAAGCATGGCGTGAAGCAAGACTGGCTTCAGCGCCACGTAGGAACACTGTCCGCACATGTTGCTTCCTCAGCCCCTGCAACAACCAACAGATGGATATGACACCCACTGCAGATGCAGGAAGATGTGCTGTTGGGAAGGCAGGCCACCAGGAGCAGGGCCCCAGCATGACCCAGGGGGGCTGTCCCCGGCCTCCTTTCTGCATGGGCTTCCTTTCTCTTATCCCACACTCAAGAGATCCAGAAGGCTGCAGGCTGGAGGCACCAACAGAGGTGACAAGCAAGAGCCCCCACAAAGGCGGAGGCAGCCAGCATGGGGAAGGCTTGTGGCAGCGTCTCCTAGTCTGACCACCCTCCTACTGGACAGCAGAGGCTGGAGAAGGATTCTCCCACCTTGTCAAGCTCTACTGAGGCACCTAGTCCTGGCTCAGTGTATCAGCAGGGATCTTATGAGAGCTGTGAAGAGGAGTGCTGCCCCTAAGAGCGAGGGACTGTCAGCAGGGGCAGGTGGGAGCCAGCATGCTGGCCCTGGCCCACCTTGGTGTCAGCAGAGGACAAGTGAGAACCTGAACTCCCCCTTACCCCACTGCTGGGGCTGTGTCAGAAGAGTCAGTAGTAAGGTCCAGATGCGCAGGTACCAATAGAAAGCTGCCTGTTACACCAAGACCCAGGAAGAAGCGAGACTGCATAAAGGACAAAAAGGCTAACATTGAGATGACAGAAATGTTAGGGTTATCTGACAATAGTGTAAAACACCCACAATAATAATATTTCAATGAACAGTTAGGAGTCCTCTTTAAACCAATGAAGAAATATAGTGTCTCAGCAGAGAAACAGAAAATTCTCAGCAAACTGATGGAACATGTAGGGAATGAACAGAAAAGGCCATGGTGTGATGCAGGTAAGAGGAAAGACAGAGCAAGGGGACAGCAAGAGAAGTCCCAGACCCAACAGCAGGGACAGTAAGAGGCTTCAGAGACCTGCAGGCTGGTGACAAGAGACAGGGTACTCCTATTACCAGTGGCAGAGCAGGCTGAAAAAGCACCAGAGGAAACAATGCCTAAACTCCCCAACTTTGGAAAATGTGCAGCCTACATATTTTAGAAGCTGACCAAATCTCAAAGGGGATAAACTCAAAGAAATCCACACAAACACACATCCTCACCGAACATCTAAATGCTGAAGTCACACAGGGATGACAGGTGCCACTTGAGACCCCTCCCCATTAGTTGCAGAGCAGGAGACCTGGTATGGTTTTAAGCCCACAGAGGGAAGCACCCTCAGCCCAGAAATGCACATCCCTAGAGAGTAAAGGGGAAGAAAGACCTCCTAGCTAGCATCAGAGAAAACCAGAGTATTGCTGCTGGCTGCACTCCCCAGGAGCAGGCCACTGAGGCCCTCACATCGGAGATGCAGCCATGTGGAGGAAGCCTCTGGATGCTGGAGGGAGAACACATGGCAGGCAACACTGAAGGCAAATGCAATAGGCCTCAGACCTCTGTAGTTCTCAAAATGATGTTTAATGGCTGAAGAAAACATCCCTGCACTGTCTGATGTGAACAGTATGGCTAGGAAATATCTGAAACAATTATAAAATGAGGAGGGTAAAACAATTATAAAAGGAGTAAAACTTTTTATCCTTCCCTCAAACCGGTAAAATGTCAACAATTAGTGGAATTGCTAAGTCATATATATATATATATATATACACACACACACACACATTATATATATATATATATACACATACATACACGTGTCCACACACATATAGAGAAGTATCTGGAGTACTAAAAACAAACAAAAGAAAAAAATGACACACACAAAGCCAAAAATCATTGAGACATACTTAAAAAGTATCAATAAGTCAAAATGGGATTTTAAAAAAGTTCAGTAACCCACAGGAAGGCAGGGGAAAAAACCTAAAAACCAGAAAATGAGCAACAAGACAAACAAAATAACAACAAAAATGAAATGGCAGACTTAATCCCTAGTATCTCAATAACTGCTTTAAATATAAATGCTCTAATTGAAATACAATGATCGGCAGAGTGGATTACCATCAGGATTCAAGCTCACGCTACCTACAAGAAACGCACTGTGTTAACAAATGCACACAGTTCCTTTGACAAATAATGCTGCAAAAATTGGATATCCACATGTAGAAGAATGAAACTGGACTCTTATACCATATACAGAAAATCAGCTCAAAATCAAGCAAAAGCTTAAATCTAAGACCTGAAATTATAAAACTACTAGAAGAAAACACAGGTGTAAAACTATGGCATTAGTTTGAGCAGTGATTTTTTTTTTTTTTTTTTTGGAAGACACCAAAACCACAGTAACAAAAGCAAAAATAAAGAAGTGAGATTACCTGAGAATAAAAATGTTCTGCACAGTTAAGGAAATAATCAACAGAGTGAACAGACAACTTCCAGAATGGGAGAAAATATTTGGAAACCAAACCTCTGACAAGTAGTAATATTCAAAATAGATCAGGGACTAAAATTCAATAGCATGAAAACAATTTGATCAAAAATGGGCAGAGGACCTGAATAAGACATTTCTCAACAGAAAACACGCAAATAATCAACATGTATATGAAAAAATGTTCAACATCACTTATCATCAGGAAAAAGCAAATTAAAACTACAGTGACATATCACCTCACACTTGTTAGAATGACTATTATTAAAAAAAAAAACTAAAGATAAGCGTTGGTGAAAACAAAGAGAAAAGAAAACTCCTGTACACTGTTGGTGGGAATGTGCATGAGTACAGACAGCCATTATGGAAAACAGTACGGAAATTCCTCCAAAATAAGTACAACCATATGATTCACCAACCCCACTAGTAGGTATTTACCCAAAGGAAATTAAATCAGTATGTGGAAGAGGTATCTGCACCTCCATGTTCGTTATAGCACTAGTCACAATCGTCAAGAAATCAACCCAAGTGTCCATGAACTGATGATGGATGTACACAATGAAATATTCAACCTTTAAGAAGAAGGAAATCCTGCTATTTGTGACAACAGGGATGAGCCTGAAGAGTATTACTTCAAGTGAAATAAGCCAAGCATAGAAAGACAAATGCTGCACAATCCCATTTATATGTAAAAAGTCAACTTATAGAAGCAGAGTATAGAAGAGTGACTGTCAGGGGCTGGGCTGGGTGAGGGGAGTTAGGAGATAGTGAAAGGGCACAAAGTCTCAGAGACAAACGAGAAACAAGTGCTAAAGATCCATTGTGCAGCATAGTCACTACAGCTAATATTCTGTTAGCTTGACTCAATCATTTCATATACACAAAACATTAACAAACAGAATGTGGCAATATATAACAAGAATCCT